CGCCACCACCGGTTCCGTGTCATCGAGGCGGAGGGCGCGGCGAGCGGCGGCGGCTGCACGTCATTCGGCTGCCACTCCCTCGTCGGCACCTTCGACTCGGGAGGATCAGCATGGGGAGCCGGATGCCCGCCTCAACATCGAGCGCCGGCGTAATAGCCGGCGTACTCCCCGCGCAATGGAGGGCGCCTCTTCGTCCAGAGTGTCACCTCGACATGGACGTGAGGACCAGCCCTCCGTGCCCCCGGCTGGTGGTGTTGGCTGTAGAGCCTTTGTGGCGAGTCTTCGGAATGTCCGTTGGCCCCCAAGGTTCCGGCCCACCATCACCGAGAAGTACGATGGGAGCGTCAACCCCACCGAGTTTCTCCAGGTCTATACGACCGGGATCGAGGCCGCTGGGGGTGACGACAGGGTCATGGCGAACTTCTTTCCCATGGCCCTAAAAGGACAGGCGCGGGGTTGGCTAATGAACCTGCCACCCGCGTCGGTCCACTCCTGGGAAGATTTGTGCCAACAGTTCACCATGAACTTCCAAGGCACATATCCGCGCCCAGGCGAAGAAGCGGACTTGCATGCAGTACAGCGAGGCGATGATGAGTCGCTTCGCTCGTACATTCAGCGGTTTTGCCAAGTCCGCAATACCATACCATGCATCCCTGCACACGCGCTGATCTACGCGTTCAGGGGGGGTGTGCGGCACAACCGCATGCTCGAAAAGATCGCTTCCAAAGAGCCCCAGACTACCGCAGAGCTTTTTCAGCTCGCGGACCGAGTGGCTCGCAAGGAGGAGGCCTGGACCTGGAACCCCTCCGGTTCCGGAGTGGCAGCTTCGGCCGCCCCCGGATCCGCCGCTCAGACAGGGCGGCGTGACAGGAGGAGGAAGAAGAGGTCAGCCCATACCGACGACGAGGGTCATGTCCTCGCCGTCGAGGGCGCTCCGCGGGCCACCCGAAAGGGGAGGCCAGCGAGCGACAAAAAGAAGGAAGCCGACGCTCCCTGACCTCGGCTACTTGGAAGAGCGAAGGCGGCGCGCGGCCCTTCGAGCCGCGCGCTACCAGCAGAGCCTGCGGCGCTACCATCAGCGCCACGACCGGGCCCGATCACTCTGCGTCGACGACCTCGTCCTACGCCGCGTCCAAACGCGTGCTGGACTGAGCAAACTCTCACCAATGTGGGAGGGTCCGTATCGAGTGATCGGCGTCCCCCGGCCGGGCTCCGTTCGGCTGGCCACGGGCGACGGCACAGAGCTGCCTAACCCGTGGAACATCAAACACCTTCGTCGCTTCTACCCCTAGTGGGGGTCGGGTGTCAGGTTTTGGGCTCGGGCCAACCCCGCACCCCCCCGGGCGTGCAGGGTTGGCCGGGGGCTTATCTTTTTTCTCTTCCGTATTTCAATAAAAGCATTTTCGATTTCCTAAAGGCTGTGTCTGTGCTTTTGTTTCCTTTTGAAGAATCTTGACTTGAAATAGGTCACTCGTGTTCAATCCTGCCCTCGGGGGCTCGGGTCGGCTAAAATCGCCAAACGGGGCCCAGAACCGAGCCGTGCCCCGGGGCGTGGTGAACTCCGGGGGGGAATCGGCAAAAACCCACAATCGGGTCACCCATAACCCTCGGTCACCACGCTCCCGGCCTGGCCAGTCTCGACATGTGGATCTCCCCAGGCACTAGCCCCGACCCGAGCCATTTGAGGACTAGGACCTGGGCACGAGCCCTTGATCAAGCCAAGACGCAGAAGGACCGCGGCACAGACCATCCTCGTCTCATACACACAACAAATAGAATTGACATAGAAATTTCCTCTTTATTTGGTTGCAGATTAAATAAGTCTATACAAGAAGGGGGCCCGAAGGCCTCGGAAGAAGAAAGAAAAAGCTATTCAAGATTGGCGGGGGCCTGGGGGCTCACTCCGACGCGCCCGGGTCACCAGCCTTGTCGTCGCTGTCGTCCGCACCACCGTCGCCGCCCTCCTCGTCGGAGTCGAGGGCGAACGCGAGCCGAGGGGCCATACCCTCGAAGCTGTGGACGATGTGGTCGGCGGCGTCCCGGACCTGCGCGCGTGCGCCGTCCTCGGTTCCGGAAGGGAACTCTTCCAGCGCTACCCACGGGGAGAAGTCAGGGTCCGAGAGGCCCCCAAGCCGAACGGCGGCCCAAGGCCCCCGACGGCCGGAGTTGGCCCTCCGCCTGCTTGTCCGACGGTGTCAGGCGCCCCCGACCCTCAGGATAGCCTCGGGGCCACTGCGGGAAGGCCGCGCCTGTCGCCCTCTTACCCCGAGGATATCGGCGCAGAAGCCGAGGGCGCCCCGCGCTGCCTCTCGGATGAAGAGCGCCCTGGAGATACGGCCCCTAGCGAAGAGGATCGGCCCCGCCGAAAGGTGCAGCGGCCCGTCTACTTTGTTAGTGAGGCCCTCCGGGACGCCAAAACCCGATACCCTCGGGCCCAGAAGATGCTATACGCTATTCTGATGGCTCCGAGAAAAGCGCCATTACCGTATCTCCAGGCGAGGCAAATCGGCTCGCCCAGATTCGTGCGCCTCTCAGGTGATGTGGCAGTCTTGAAGAGACCGCCCATTATTGACAGACAAATTACCATTACCGGTGTGCATGGTTTGAGACCGTTGGGTTTTTGCCCAACTATGGAGACCGGTCCCACCTGTCACCAGGCTTTAGGAGTGGCGTCACACCTGACCGCTTCCCTTGGGAAGGGAAATTGCTCTGGCATAACGCCGGGGGCTACTGTCGGTGATATGGGACCGGGAGTATCATGACCAGAGGCTTGAGGCAGACGCAATCGCCCACGTGGCCTGGCACCTTCGGGGACGTCGGGCCCGAGGGTGAGGTGTCCGCCCTCCTCCTGATTTCCCCCGAGGGGGGGGGTCGGGTTGCGCTTGCCCCGGCCCCGAGGGCCGAGGCACCCCGACCCCTTAAGGAAGTCTGCGCCACATATATGGGATAAGTGAGCACAGCTGTGCTCACCTAACAGCATTTATTGCAGTCTGGTCAAGCGTGTCACGCTGCATGCAACGCAGTACAGCGCGTTCCTTTATCCGGTCTGTGACCAGTCACAGACCGGTCAGATCACGGGTTAGGTGGCGACTGGCGGTCTGACGCACGCCTTGCCCCATCCCGTCAAGACGAAAGCCTCTAGGCACTCGTCTCAAGCCGGAGCTAGCGTGTTATCTCTTAGAGATGGCACGTTAGCCCTGGTCAGATTTATACCAGGCTTCATCCTAACCATTACAGGCAAGATGTTGTGTGAAGAAGGGCAAAAATGCACGTTGCTAAGCTGACACGCGGTGGACAAGAATGACCGATTTGTGACCGGTCTGACACTGCTCATGTCGTCAGCGCACAGCCACGTTCCCACGACGCGCCTGCCCCCGGCAGAAGTGGAGGTAGGTATGTGCCGTCCCATCAGAAGGACGTTCGGAGGGCAACCGTGCAAATCTCCGTCCATTTATGTAAAGAAGAAAAGTCCAGTTTGGAAAGGGAAGGGTGCATGTGGTATCCCCTTGAAGTATAAAAGGAGGACCTTGCCCATAGAGAGGGGATTGATGATTCTTTCCAGATTCAGAGCCTAGAACAAGGGAGAGGTCGGCTCACACTTTGTAGTTCTTCCACTCACAAATCCACCAAAACACAGGAGTAGGGTATTACGCTTCCCAGCGGCCCGAACCTGTATACATCGTCCGTGTCTCGTGTTTCTTCCTGGCACGCGATCTTTCCACACACAGCGAGAGCTTGAGATCTCACCCTAAGCCCCCGGCCGAACCGGCAAAGGGGGGCCTGCGCGGTCTCCCGGTGAGGAGCCACGAGCTCCGTCACATACCTATACCTATCAACAAAACAACTCAAATTTAACTTTATTTCACAATCCATGATTACATACCTAACTAATTATATGTATGGATGCTATATACCTAGAATCAAAATCTAACAAAAACAAGTTCAAATTCAGTTCAAACTTGCTTTCAACTAGTTAGTAAAGTAGTTAATATTAATACCTAAATAATTGAAAAAGTTTCATGCTCATTTGAATTGGGTATATACTCAATTTCAACAATGGTGCCCGGGCACCATGGAGCACCAAACAAATTTACTATATATATATATATATATATATATATATATATATATGTGGATATACTATACTACAGATGGATTGTGTTGTACTAAAACGCACCCCATCCCCTACACCCCTCCCCACCCCACCCCACCCCACCCCCAAAGAAAAAATCGAACGTCCGAAACCTTGGCCAACCCCTAAGTAAATCTGTTATTGATAGTAGTAGTCCACCGTACATAATTATTCTCACACCATAACTAACCAGCATTTTTCCCCAGTTCTTCGGATCTGGACAGGCAGGAGCAGGAGGCGATGGTTTCCCAGAATGAGAGTCCGACGCCCCTTCCCTGTCGCCGGCGTTCGTCCTTCCCCGCTGGTACTCCCGTTCCGCTCAGCCACGGCTTCGACCTCCACCGCCACCGCCGGGCCTCCACCCCCGGCATCAGCTTCCTCTACGTCGCCCCATGGAGCTCCACCGCCACTGGTTAGCCCCGTATGCCGTCACCCATTTCCTCCTATTCCTCCGCTCTAGGTGGCGATGGTCGCCGCCGCCGCCCCACGTGCTTCCAGTGCAGGCGGAAGCGGAAGGCAGCGGGCTCATCCAGCGTGCGGATGGGCGACGATGTGGATCGTGGCCGTGGATAGGGAGCCCTTCTTCAACTCGACGTCGGGGAGGAACGACGGTCGAGGAGGATGGCTTCGCCGTTGCTGTTGTCCACGTCGATCTGCTCCTCATCCCCTTCCTCTCCAGTAATATGTGGATCGAGGGTGGTGGGACATCCCCTCCGGCGGCGAATCAGGGTGGCCTTCCGCAGCATTTTCTGATGAGGGGTGGTAGCGGATCTGGAGGTCCCATACCAGTTCTGCTCGTGGAGAGGGAGGAGCCAACCTACTCTGTTGCCAACTTGCTATCTTGACAACTGCGTGGTTGCAGTAGGCAAGTTGGCAGTCCTGATCGTCATCCTCAATATTGCAGCATCAGGCCCTTTCCCCCTTCTTAATTTTTTGTATTAGTCGTGAATTACTCTTTTCAATTTCGAACTTGTTTGCATCAAGAATTTTTGCTGTTCGTATGTATATATTCTGATCTTGTTTGCATAAAGAATTTGGCCAATATTTGGAAGAACTGAAAGGATTGAGCTTTTGCTTATAATCGAATCAATTCTTGATTTCTTGCAATATACAATTTGTGATTTTCTTTTGCATGCCTGATAATGTCCTCATAGCTAACAGAAGCTTGTCCTTCTGATTGATTTGGTTGTCTGCCACGTTCGTTGCAGGCTACCTGTTCGACGGAATGCAACAGGGAGACAGCTTTTAACCTGGATCGTGTTAGCTATCATTGGACGGTGCTGCCGACAGAGTACAGCTCGGCTGCAGGACTCAAGGAGGAACAACCACGACTTGCAGCAGATGCCCAAATCCCAATTTCGCGTCCTGCCTCTTTCTTGTGATTCAGTTTGCATTTGCAAATGCCATTTACAGGTACAGCTGTTCTGAATGCTATTTATACTAATATCCCTTTCATTTCAGAGTAGGTTGACAACCCTATGTTGCCTTGACAGATCTGGATATAAAAAAAATTCTAAATATGCCAGCTTACTTTTATTGCTTTGCACAATAGCAGTATTATGCCTACGAAATAGTAGTTTTATAGTCATGAAATGCAGCTGAGTTGACTCTTTATAGCAATTTGAGTAACAGTCCTCTCTGTTCCTCAGAGCAGTCCTTGTAGTGCTGTTGGCTGGCATATCGCCATTGGTCTCAACTCTTTTGATGTCCAGCTCTAGCCTCTAGGACACCAGATCAAACCGACTGGTTAGTGTCTCCTATTGGACTATGTTTTATTGTTTCCTGTTGAACATACCCTTTTTTCTCTGTATATTTTTGACAGAACAGACATCTTCAGACTAAGGTCTAAATTTTACTGAAATTATTAACTTCTAATTCTTCCAGGCATCAGCATCTGCAATGTGCACTTTGGCAGGTGGATGCACATCTTGATGGCATGGTGGTTGGTAATTGCTCTGCTGAAGATGGACATGTATGGACATGTTCTACATTTTTTAGTTGCTCATCTATATCTGAATTTTCTTTTTAATTGTGATTTCATTTGTGTTTAGGAAACTAGAAAAGAACATGAGAAGATTAAGCCAGTGGTGGTGGTGCCACTGGAATGCCATCCTGGTCATTATCCTCAACATGTCCTTAATCAACGCTCGTCGCCGGCGGCCAACACCAAAGGGCAGGGGTGATGCAGAGATGTCAACCCCTTCATCAACGCTCGTCGCCGGCGGCCAACACAAAGGGCAGGGGTGATGCCGAGATGTCAACCCAGGACGAGCACACCACAATTGATGACCTGCTTCGGTGGCAGGCGATGCCCTCTAGACTGATTTTTTTGGTACCGAGTGTATATGTGTGTTTGTAACGATAATGGCACGATCAATTGTAAAAACAAAAAACCATTATACCCGTATTCTAGTGCAGTAAAATATTTACTGCCTTATATATCAGGCCCAATCAATTACTAAGTAACTTTTTTACTCCCTCTATGATTGGATGATTCGAATACATATTAGTAATTTTTTTTACTCCATGAATGTAATTTTGTTTATCACATGATAGAAACAAATTCAATTGTCAAGATATTCCCATGTTCTTGTCAATATGGTTCTTAATAATATTTTCGCCTATGGGCAAATACGAGAAGTGGCTAGCAAATGTTACTTCTTATCTGTTAGTAACTCATTATGGGCAAAGTCTCTGTTAGTAACGCATTTACTCATGGGCCAATACGGGAAGTGCCTAACAAATGTTACTCTCATTTACTAACAGGATTAGTCTTTGATAGTAACTCATTTACTTAAGAATAGTAACTCGATTACTTATCGAAAACATACTGATAGTAAATGAATTACTAAAATCACACATATCATTGTTGGTGGCTGGGCTAGAAAAAGGTGCGGGATTGGTACATCATTCAATCTTTACGTATAGTAAATATGTTACTTATAGTATATTGTGCCACAAACAATCATATAGTAATTAATTTACTATATGTTATTTTTAAAAGGTGAGGGTGAGGGATGTGGGGTGGGTGCGGCTGGGCTAGAAAAGGTGCGCAGGGGGGGGGGGGTTAGGGGGAGGGTGGGGGTGGGGGGTGTTTGTGAGGGGAGTAGTTTAGTTATAACGCACCCTAAGTGCGGTTTAGCACATCCCTATATATATATATATATATATATATATATATAATCGCCTCGCCTTCCGCGCATGCGCATCGGCGCTTCTCTCTGTTAGAGCAAGTTTAATGGTATAGCCAACTACTAGCTCCAATTCATCTATAGGCAATCTAATAGCTCATCTATACAATAGTTACATACTACACTATTAATACCTGGTCCCACCAGCCATACACACACTGCGCATTGGAATCCGTGCTACAGCTGGCTATAAATCTGTAGCCCGCTGCTCTTCTCTTTTCTTATTTATTTTCTTAAAATATGTTTGCAGCTGGTTTATAGTCTGCTATTGTACCTGCTCTTAGTGTTGGACCGGGACTGAGGCTTGAAGATGAGGGACCGGAGGGCGCTCTGGGCCCCCCTCCAAGCATTGGTAACGAGAGTCGTAGCTGTGTCTCTTGCGCGCTATTGCCGCGCGAGCCCGAGAGCAACGGCGGATTCTGGGCCTTGCCCTTGCGGGAGGGAGTTATTCCGGATATCTCTCGATTGTACGTAAGCCACGTGAGTTCTCAAATAAAAAAAAAGTAGAAAAAACTAAGCCACGTGCCACGTTGGGCCAGGTCTATGGCAGCCATGCAGTGTGCACCCACACACATCATTTGCTACGAGTTGAACCTACTGCATGCATTGAAAAAAAAAAAAAACTCACTCCCGAACACAGCTTGAGTGGCATTCTCTCCTATATGGTGATTGTTCCGTTATTCATGTCCTTAGTGCTAAGTGTGATAGGTTAAATTTGGAAGCATGTAACTTAAACATGTTAGTATCCCATATTATAGAAAAGGTAAAACATTTCTTTAGAAAAATAAAAGGTAAAACAATCGATAGCAAGAAATAAAAAGTATTTTATTCTAATTTTACTAATTCTAACAGCTGATATGCAAAATTTTAAATTTACAAAAGTGAGACGAAATTCACCTATCTGTTTTGTGTATACTGTCATGCTATAATTCTTCCTAGATATTCTACAAACATAAAACCAAGCACACATTAAATAATACTTTTAATATATGATATTTACATAGTAGATTTTATCAGTCTCAAAGTAATTACTTTAAAATATATACATGTGCTCCAGGGAAAAAAATCACGGGATAAATAAGCAAGCGCGCCAACAGGCGCGCTCATTTTTCTAGTCCCTTGTTATCAACGGACGCAGGTGCAGCCGTGCAGCTTAGCGCAACGCCAAAGCTCTACTGGAACTGGGCTGGGCTTGGGAGCGTGTGGAGGTAGTAGGCATTCAGTGGCTGCAATTGGGCCTGGTGTGAATGGAATAGCCCACCAAAAGCATTACAGATCCATTTTGCTATATCTCTCGAAATCTTTTTTTCTTGAGCCATCAGTCAATTTATAGACCGTATAAAGCGCGTTGAAATGAGTGCTACTGTTGGAGGGAGAAAAATAGAGGCACATGCAGATGGTGGGAATCAATTAATGCAATGATCTCCGATTCTCCGTGGTTGCATACCTGGGCTCCTGCCAGCTCCACCTGTCGTCTCTATCGTCGTCTCCTGCCACCGGCTTGTAGAGGAAGAGAAGGAAAAGGAGAAGAGCAGGATGAGAGGAGGAGGAGAAAGAGAAGGAAAAGAGGATAGTAGAGACTTACATATGGGTTCCTCTTGATATTTTGGAGATGGTGGAGACTGTTGGAGTTAGCAGTTAGTTTGAATCCAAATCAACTAGAGAGTTGACTATATGGCTATTTGGCTCTAAGCCGCAAGATACAAACTGCCATACTGAAGTAATGGATATTACTTCTAGTGCAAGAGTACCGTCATACCTTAGCGTTTAAAAGTTATACGTTGAAACTAGAAAGTGATTTAAAAATATCTAAACTAGTTCCAAAATTTAAATTTAGGTATGACTTACAAGATAACTAATTGCCAAACAAACTACCCAATCGCTAACCCTTCTTGCAATTCCCGTTGTTTGCTTCACAAGACTTTCCCCTTAACTTTTGGCCATCCCTTGTTTGGTATGGAGGGTTGCAGTCCAGGTTTACAGTCCCGGTGAAAACCTATCCAAAAAATTATCTATTATATATACTAAAATTCTATTAAACTTCCTATAAACTCTTTCAAGCCGTCAAGTGGCACCTTATAAACGCTCACAAGTCATCAAGTGACAATTAATAAATAAGAGAAATCTAACCATCTATTTTTACTTAAATTAGCGGACCCAATTATTTTAGATAGTTAGATGAATTTCGTAAAAAGAAAAAATCCGGAACCAACGTGCAAACGTACGTAATAGTTCTGGATCATACTAAGGAACTGTTGACGACCAAATTTGGTAAGATGTGAACTAGGTTCGACATTGGGATCGAGACGGATTCGATAAAGAGATCGATTCGAAGAACAGAGTACGCATCGGCTGCGAAGGCATCGGCTGGGGTGTGCATGCATCGGCTGAGATGGATCGGACAGAGGGTAGCCGATACAGCCGATGGAGAGGTAATGCAGCCGATTCCAATGAAGATGGTTTCAAGACTGTTTCTAGAATCGTTCAAAGTGCTTCACAGGGTTTGCCACGATGAAGATAAAGCTCTCGGTTTAGGCAATTGTATCTATTAATTAGGATATTTCGTGTAATTTCCTTAGAGATATGTTTGGGCAAAAGTCTGCCACAAAGACTTATGGTATCTTAGAGTTTGTTAGAGATAAGTGTCGTGTCCGGCAAAGACATATTTTGTATCTCGGGCATAAATATGACCCGAACCCATGTAATCAATCAACAATCGTTCAACATAATCTCGGCGCATCGCCACCTTTCTTACTTTCGTTTATTTCGACGAGTTCTAGCTTTCGGGTTGAGCTGCATCGGTTTCGATCTTCAACTAGAGGTAAAGCTTGTTATGACGGCTTGCGTTATCGGGATTAATGCTTCCATCTTTATGATACTTTAACCCTGTCTATGCAATCCATCGAGTTATCATATACATGTTTCAATCTATGCTAGCTGAGCTATATAACTTGTTATCGGCTGGTTCTTGTTGTTAGGGAACAATCGGTAGAGTTACATTTTGTTATTAATCTAGATTATATCATGTATCTACCATCTCTTGTAGATTCTCATCATCTTGTCTAGATCTCATATTTGTCTTTATGCTTAATGCTGCATCGGTTGAGTTCGATCTATTAAGTGTTATTTATAATTGTGATATCTGGCTTGTTTTATGATTATCAAGAAAGATAGTATCAGGGTTTCAGCCGATCATACCTGGCTTAGTCTTATGTTTTATATGCTTCATTGATATTCTAAGTCTACCCTTTATATTAAGATCTTATTGCAATAAAGTATATTAGGCTTTTGTTTGATATATTCTATCTGTTTTAATATCTTAGTGTAGAGTTGTATCGGAGAACTAGCTGATACATGCTAGACCTATTTAATCGGCTATGCTATAAGCGTTTATAATCTTGATGTTAATGTATATTTTGATCTAAGTTATTTATATTGTCTCGGCATGGCAACCGATCTATCCCAATCACTTGGTTTAAATATACATTGATAGAAGGATTATATAACGTTAATATCCACAGCCGATTGAATAGATTTAGTCTTATCTTTCTTATTTACAACTGCTGATCGATTCAATTATGACATCGGCTTGAAGATAAATGATATGTCATCGGCGACTAGCGATCGGCTATCGTTTATAGATTTAACCGCGGTTTCTCTTGTCTTTGTTTCTTGTTGATTGCAGGATCAAATCAACTGGCACGCTCACGAACCTAAAAGCAAGATTTTGGACCTGCACTGACGTTAAGCAGATCTTCCAGGCCAGTGTGTGATTTTTCGCATAAACATGCTTTTGGCATGCCCGATGGGACCGACAAGTGACAACGATGTCGACAGAAAAGCAATCTCCATCGTCGGCAAGCAAGCCGCCGATTCCTCCGCAAACCAAGCTTCCGAAACCTTCAGGGACTAATCTACCATCAACCGGGGCTAAGTCCACGGTCAATGAGACAAACATCGTCCCAGTTACCGTAGACAAGTTATCACCAGAACAAAAGAAGGAGTTTGAGCTAATGATGAAGAATGCTTAGGAGCAATTCATGAGATCGTTCACAGCAACCCAATAGGGAAAAGTTGTTCAAAAATACAAAGTGAAGGTAGTTGCTGCCGATGAGGTCGGAACAAGCTCATCTCAAAGTGGTAAAAGTGCGGCAGATGGCTCGGGCGACAAGGGTGACGGCCTTCAGGATGGTGTGGTTGAAGACCTTTGTGAAGATGGTGCCAAAATACAAGAAGAACCTCCTAGGCGCATGAATTTCCAAGACCAAGTCGATTACGCCGTGCAACACGCCTTGATCAACCAGTCCGGGGTGCTCGTCAATACATTGACAAATATGATCAAATCTGTGATTGACGGCACAATAGCTGAACACTAGACCACGGGGC